CACACACACACACACACACACTTAATTCCTGTAGGACATAGTACATGCTCTACATGATGTGCTTGTAGCCCCTCCTTTTGCTTAGCTGTGTCACACCTATTTCTCTAGGGTCTTATTGACACAAGGATTCCAGTCATTAGAACTCATTTTTATCAGCATTCCTCTCGTCATGAATCTGACCCATCTTTCCCTTCCAGTATCTCCATCTCTGCATCTTTCTGCCTCTTGCTGTCTTTCATGATCTGCCAATTTTTCAAAGTAGTTCTCTCTCCCCATTTGTCTCTTTTTTTCAATTTATGTATGAGATTACATATCACACCCATCTCTCTTTTTTGCACATCCATTTTGTTGATGTATATCATGAGTTTTCAGCAAAGTGGAAAGTTTTATATGCACATTACAAATAAATCAATGAAGTATGATAGGTTGCATAATTCTAGGCAAAAGAAGTGTTAAACTTAAAAATTTGAATTTATAACCATGTTTGTGTTTTTTAGAAAGCCCATGTTTCAGAAAATCAGAAATACATTACACATTTAGTCATTTAGCAGACATTTAGTCATTTAATCATTTTAGTCGCCTTTATCCTTACAAATGATGACAATGGAATATGAAAATGGAGAAAACAGAAACTTCTAAAGATTTTCAATTTTATGCATTTTTAGTGGGGTGGCACCAATTGAGCCAGGACTGTCACTGGTTTCTCCTCAAAAGTAGTTAGTTGCATGACACTTGGTCTGCTTCTGTCTATGTACATCTCCTTTTCTGTCCTTATCTGCTCAGTATTCTCTCTTTTAAAACAGGCAGCTTTCCTCCTTCCTTCACCCCATCGCAACGAAACAATGAATTCATTCATCCTTAAGTGGTGCTTTCATTGGGGTTCACTAAACAGGGGCGATTCGCCAGACAGAACAACACATTTCTCTGTGCTGAGACACAAACACACAAATAGTTATGAAAAAAAAGAGTGATAGGCTAGAACAAATGCTGGAAGAGATAAACCACCCACGAATGTGCCACCTAATTGAATAATCTTCTTAAAACATTTGTCAATTCGTTTCAAGTTTATTTTTCTACTATTAGAGGAGCCTCAAAAATCATTAAATTGCCAATCATCTATTGTGACGTACATCAGAGTGAAACAGATTACAGATAACAGAAATCTGAAACAGATTAAGTAAAAAAATTTAGGATGAAGACTTGGTTCTATCTATCGTTTGTTGATTGGATGAAGGCAGATCTACATGGCATGGTTTAAGTGAACAAAAATGAATAGAGAAGTCCAGCATATATGTTACCAGGGAGAAGTCTGTTATTTTACTGGAAGATACAGATATGAAATTTTTCAAGGAATAGTTTAGCCAAAAATGAAAAATTGCTGAAAATTTAGTCACTTTCCAAGGCCATCAAAGATGTAGATGAGTTTGTTCATTCATTGGAACATGAAATTTAACATTATATCACTTGCTCACCAATTGATCCTCTGCAGTGAATGGGTGCCGTCAGAATGAGAGTTCAAACAGCTAATAAAAACATCAGAATAATCCACAAGTAAACAGTACTTGATCTGTACATATTTTACTCCTGATTCAGATGAGACAACTTTTTCACTGGTCCGGGAGAAAGCAATATTATGGATAGAGGACTCGTATTTTAGCTGGAAGCAATGGTTTGAAATTAAAATCAATAACGTAATAAATGTTTATTACAAACATGCAGCTTTTCCCTCGACAAGGCATTAAGTGATGGACTGAAGTCATACTTTTATCAGCAGTCTGAATTCTTGTTCTGACGGCACCCATTCACTGCAGAGGATCAACTGGTGGTGATAATTTTTGGGTGAACTATTCTTTCAATAAAAACTATGTCAATGGATGAATTGTTCACAATAAAATCAAAAATGAGCATTTAAAATTTTTTTCAGTTCATGCCGACTTTAACGTAGCAGCATGTTACTGTGCTCCATCGACTTTACAAAAATTTTATCAGTAGCCTATATCAAAATTCACAGCATGGCCACCCAGTGCAAGAAGACTAATTTAGATGAATGAGAATTTCTGAATATTTCAGAGTGAGTTTAGATTTCATAAAAAGGCCCAAGCATGAGGTATAGTTTGTGCAAGCAGGTTTTGCTTAATTTATAGCTAAAAACTACTGATATATCAGTCAGGTGTGTAAATATAAACGCTCAATCACATTATACAGTCATTAGAGGCTCAAGACTGTTTTTAATTTGATCATTTAAAATGAATCTCTGCTGTTTATAACTCTGCTTACAAAAGAGACTCATTATATCAATATTTAAAGTGCAGAGCACAAAAACAGTGAGTCTGTGTGTGTGTGTGTGTGTGTGTGTGTGTGTGTGTGTGTGAGTATTTTAGCAAGAGTTCTAAATTAGGCTCAGCACAAGATCTCCTTATCACACATGAACAGACAATTTGTTCTTTGTTCCATGTTTAGTTGGTCCTCTGACGAATTCACTTCTGAAACCTGAGGAGAAGAGCAGAGATGGAGAGAGAGAGGACCAGAGGGGTCTGTTCTCTACAGAATAGAGAAATGAAACACATCTGGCAACAATACTGCAGTTCCCCTGCAGGACAGGGCACGGGGTGGGAAACGAATCTAATAAAGCTTACAAATAAACCGACTTACCATCCATCCCACCAATCCAGCAAACTGTCTGACAATGAATCAAATTATGCTCATATGCAAAGTAGCACATTGATGAAGGTGACATTTGGGACATCCAGTCTAAAACTCATTAACTAGAACAGGGCTGTCCAAACTCAGTCCTGGAGGGCCAGTGTCCTGCAGAGTTTAGCTCCAACCCTAATGAAACACACCTGAACCAGCTAATCAAGCTCTTACTAGGCATAGAAACTTCCAGTCAGGTGTGTTGAGGCAAGTTGGAGCTAAACTCTGCAGGACACCGGCCCTCCAGGACTGAGTTTGGACAGCCCTGAACTAGAATAAACCTAGCTGGATGATTCAAATCCATCCAGACTGTAATATTGATTTCTCTCACCTTTCAAGTCCTCTCACCTCTTCACTGTCTCAATGGACCCTTTTCACAAGACTGTGATGACGCGTTTAACGGTCATCAGCATCGTAAATCCTCTAAGGTTTTTCATATTTGTATTTTTTTATTTTTTAATGTATGTACATTTATAACACTATTCTTCGTATTATATCACCTTTGCATCAAATTACAAAAAAAACAGTTAACGCTAATGCGAGGGTGTTTCTAATGCAGCGTCTATGGGCGGGATGGTAAATTTGACATTCTCTCTTCTGACAGCCGATATAAGTCTCTCAATTTTTGTACTTTTATTGAAAGTCATGAAAACACTATCGTGGTGTTTTTCTTTTGCTATTTGAGCAAACGGGAATGCAAAAAATATATTTGTGGTACTCTCCCATTCACTGCTCTTCAAGTTAACTCAACTATGACGACTTCCGCTGCTGAGAAACCCGGAAATGTGAAAAAGGTCTATGGCAGACCAACCGTGACGCTTAAACTATTGCGCTGCTTCCCTCTGCTGACGTAATGCCGAATTGCAAGTGAAATATTAAATTAACTTTTGTTTTGTTCTGTTTCTTATTTTATTACACGAATAAAACCATAGCTGTAACACTGATGACAAATTCTCATAAAAATATTAATTTAAAAAGTGATAGATCATAGATTAATGAAACAACACCAGAATGTAACATTCATGACATATGTAAATTAACCAAATAAAAGTGGAAAAAAAATAAAAGCACATTTAAACAGCGGTAAGTACTTTGACATTAACTTGGTTTGACTTAAACATGTATTAAAAATATTTAATACAATATATTTGCTGAAGTATATTTCAAAATATATTTATGTAGCCTAGATGAAGAAATATTTTTGGTCCATTTTTGTTTATTTTTGAAAATATATTAAACCATATTTTTTAATGCATTTAAAAATATATATTTTGACTTTCATATATTTCGATTTAAGAAAATGCATTCACATGCAGCCTATATTTAATATTTGTAACGTACATATGTAATGTAATATAATGTAATATGTAAATGTAATATAATGTTTTATATATATATATATATATATATATATATATATAAACAAAATAAACATTGTTAATTCATTATATAACTATATAATATTGGAAATTTATTTTCTAGCCACTGTCATTGAGCTTCGCCGTGTACAAACTATATTTGGCATATATTTAAAACATTTTGACCAGAAAAAAATGGCCGTATAAGTAGTGAATAGTCTTTTAAACCCTCACGCCGTTGAAACAACACAATTATTTGTTAAATCTGCTAAGATGTGAGGCAGAATGGCAATGAACGCTGATTTCATTTTGCGTGTAGGCTGCTGTTCCTTTAAGGTTCATTTATCACACAGAACTACATCGAATAAAACTGTGCGTTTATTGTATTATGAATTTAAAAAGAGTACATTGGAGAGCAATTGTCCGATAATGGGGAATTAATGTGCTGCTGCTGTGAATTTGTTCTTTGTTTTTGTCCGCGCGCATAGCTCGGACAAGACTCGTGCCGTGACGTCACCGACACTCTTTCCGAGGGTCGGATTAAAGATGGCGCCCTCTCATGCGGTAAGATGCTGTCAACGGGGTTTATCCTGGATACCTGTGATTTTTATCAACCTGGTCGTGTGCTGGTCCTACTACGCTTACGTGGTGGAGCTCTGTATATGTAAGTGTCGACCTAAGTTGTCTTAGCTGAATGGAGCACAGCAGATAAAAGTTGCTGGTTAGTTGTTGCAGTGGTTTGGGCAGGAAGTGTCAGTAACTGACTGGTACCAGATATGTATCGAAATTCCGCACAGTTTCTCAGTATAGTGCTTATATTTTTGGATAATTCATGTCGAATGTCATAAATTGTTTATGAACTTGTGTTTTGATATCAATAATTGTATGCAGTGCAAGTTCAAGCTCGAGCGATAGCTAAGCCCAGCTGTTAAACTGATTGAGACGCCTGATAATTAAAGAGCAGATACGAGAAGCTGTCTCACTGAAAAGAACGTGAAAATATTTATTTTCAATAATAGTCTCATTTCAGTCTGAACGCAGATTATACAGCAAAGTATGTCTGTCTGGAAGATATCTGACTAATAAACTTGTTTTTCATTTGTCAGAGGAGTAGTTGTTCAAGTCTAGCAGTGTCATTTAGTGTGTTATGCTATACTTTTATGCTATACTGTACTGAAAATGTATAATTATCCTATATGCAGATTATCTCATTACTTGATAAAATGTATTATATGGAATATTTATGATTTTTACAATTCCATTGTCACAATGCAGTTTTTTTTCTTCTGATAATTAACTCAAAAATGAAAATTATTGTATCATTTTTGTATTTCATAGGTGAACTGTCCATTTAAGTGTCCTGCAGCAAAGCTAAACGTGATTCTTTTATATTTTTTTTAGATATAAAGTGTGAAACATGAATGACCGTAAACATCTGTGCTGTTGAAGTCTATAACTTGAGCTGTTGTTAACCACTTCACAGTGAGCTCTACACTCACTGCAGTTCCACCCAGTTATTACTTCCTCATCGGTGTCTTAAAAATACTAATTTCATTGTGTTTTGCGGTCCATTTATTACCCTAGTAAAGTGCAGTGATATATTATGAATCCTTCCTTATTGATTCCCCCTCCTTATTGCTGTGAAGGTTTGTAGAGTCTTTTAAATCTTTGACATGGTGACCAATGAGAGTTGAAAGGAAAAGTTCAAATTGACTTGTTTTTTTTTTTCATTCTATTTCTTATTTTATTTAACAAATGAAACAAGGGTTGTGACATGAGTGACAAACTCTCATAAAAGATTAATTTAAGCAGTAATAAATCATAGATTAGTACAATCTAACACCAGTGAGACATACATTAACCAAGTTGAAAAAATAAAGGAAAATGAAAAAAACTTTATATGATGCATAAATTTAAACATCCTACATATTTTGACTTTGAAAGTACTTTTTAATTATTAAATTAAATATTTAATAATTGATTGAAATATTGAATAAAATAATAATAGTTAAAATAATAGTTAATTAACAAAAGAGTAGCAATTACAATTGCAAATCAGATTATTTAACCTTTAAGTTCACAAATGAAGCAAGGGTTGGAACATCAATGACAAACTCTCATAAAAGATTATTAAAATAAATATTTAAACACTTATTAAAATGTTTAATAAAATAAAAATGAATGTATAATGAAAACAAATATTTAACTATTTAAAAAAAAAAAAACTCTTTTAAAAACCGACTCCTACTGTCAGAGATTTCACTGACTGTGCCTTCACGACATGCATCTGTCAGTCACTTGTTGAGTCGTCATGACAACCAGGGTATTCCATCCGTGATGGACACAAGGCTCTTTCTGACCAGATGGCAGTACCAGTCGCCCGGCACTCTGGCCTTACTGGGCTGATCTGGTGGGAACTGGAAGGGTGCTGAGAGAGAATTAGTGGTATCCCAGCACTCAGCAGATGGCTTTGTGAATTGGGCCAGTTGTTCTTGATGGGATTGCTGATAGACCTTTGCTTCTTGTTCTTTCTCTCTGCAGACACAATCGCCAACACAGAGGAGAAAGGTAAGAGGAACTCCAGTGTAACCAAGCACACAATATTGCTTAACAGTTAACAAATCCTTTTCTTAGCTAATCTGGCCTCCTGCTGTTCTCTTAATCACATGTTTTGTCACACCAGAATGAACAAAACATCCCATTTAGATTATGAAGTAACAGCTATTATTGTTATTAAGTAAGTATGAATTATGATTTGTTTTACTAAAATTCCCCTCATGCTGTTTTTCTTGCAGTTATTTATCTGATAGTGTTTCACGTCTTTTTCTTCATGTTCATATGGTCTTACTGGAAGACCATAATTTCCAAGCCTGCCAGCCCCTCAAAAGAGGTACTCTTTCTCTCTATTTGTCTCTCTGTTTTTGTTCCTTTATTTACATATTTAATGTTTAATATAGTCTGAGCCATATTTTATTTTACATAGTCTATTTCTGTTGCTGTTTTCTGAGAATGTGGGCAAGTTGTACAACTTGTCCATGTTGCCATCTGTCTAACCTCTACCAAGTCACAGATGAATTAATAGATACACCGTCTTAAATGGCTGATTTTATAGATATTTTAATTATTAGGCACTGTATTATTTGCATGTAGCATTGGTTTTTCCTCTTCGTAACACTATCAGAAGAGACATGTTTAGATTCAGTAGTCCTGTGTTGTTATTGTTAACTAAAAATAAAACTAAAACTATTAAAATCAAAATAAAGCTAAAATAAAATAAAACTATTGGATGATAAAGTAAAATAAATAATAAAAAATAGGAACTGTTGCTTTGGAAACTAGCAGATATACAAAAGTACTAAAATGACAAACTGAAATAGTAAATAAATTAAAGCTAAATAGAAAAAATTAAATTAAAACAAACTGAAATAAACTGAGAATATGAAAATAAAAGGCATAAAACAAATATAATAGTATTTAAATTTTACTAAAACAACACTGCACTCGTCTAGATCTTGTTAATGATTTCTTATTGCTTGGCTCTCAGGTTCTCATTCCACCTGGGCTGTGTGGGAGCAAAATAATTATCATACTGTAATGTGTATGTGGTTGGCTTCAGGCTCTGTAATGTTCCTCACATCTGGAGGAGCAGCAGCAGCAGCGGGAGCCTTTAAACTCTGGCTGCTCTGTAGTTTTATTACCACAGAATATAATGACAGAGAAGAGGAAGAAAGATGTGAAAAGAAAATAGGCAGTTTGAACTGCCTGTGGGATGCGAGTTGTGGCTTAGTAGTTAGCACACATGCTCAAACAAGTCCGGCTCACAGAATTTCGTCATGTCTCTGTCATCTTGTCAATAAAGATGGCAAAAATTATACTAAAAGTGTCTTTGTTAAAAATGAGAATATCTGGTTGAATTTAGTTGCATATGCAGATTCACATTGGTCTATTCTCATACACATCTCCATCTAACATCCTGTTGTCTCTCTTAGTTCTGTCTCCCTAAAGCAGACAAAGAGCTGTATGAGAAAGAGGAGAATCCAGAGGCCCAGCAGGAAATCCTGAAGAAAGTGGCCAGAAATGTGCCCGTATATACACGCACAGGATCTGGGGGTAAGCTTAAAAACTTACAGTGGCATTGAAATCCCCCATTCTTCTTTTTTTTAATAATGTTCTTCTGCATTTATTTCAGCCCCAACCACTAATACGTTTGTGTACCTTTTGAAAGTATATTTAAAACGTATAACTTATAACACAAAATGTGTCATTTAAAGTTTGCATCAACTTTTTTACTCAGACCGTTACGGTGATAACATATGTCATATAAAAATTCAAAAGCATTAAGTGATATTTTTTTTAGTTTTTAATATTTGCATACTGAATTGTGATTGGCTGTCTTTGACGTATACACTACCATTCAACAGTTTGAGGTCAGTAAGATTTTGTTAATATTTCTAAAAGGCTATCATCACGACCACTGCATTTATTTAATTAAAAATAGAGTAAAAACTGTAATATGGTGAAATATTACAATGTAAAACAACTGTTTTCTATTTTATTTGTTATTATTATTATAAATATAATTTATTTCTGTAATGCAAAGCTGAATTTTCAGCATCATTACTCCAGTCTTCAGTGTCACATGATCTTTCAGAATCCATGTCTATACTAGTGACACAATGTTCAGTTTTTTTGAATGAGTCCTCTGTCCTCCTCAGCTATCCGGTACTGTGACCGCTGTCAGTTGATCAAACCGGACAGATGTCATCACTGCTCCACCTGCGACAGGTGAGTCCACTCAGAAAACATAGTTGCCTTGCTTGTATTGGATTTGCACAATATGTATTTTGATCCTTTTTGTTTTTCCCAGATGCGTCCTGAAAATGGATCACCACTGTCCATGGTACGTACATCTGGGGATGCATTCAGTTTGTAATCTGAAGTTGCCACATAATCTGGTTTAGGTGCTGTAGCTACTATGTAGCTTATAACTCTGTGTTTTTCTCTGTTCTTCTAGGGTTAATAACTGTGTTGGATTCTCCAACTATAAGTTCTTCGTGCTGTTCCTGGCGTACTCTATGCTGTACTGCGTCTACATCGCTGCCCCAGTTTTGCAGTACTTTATCAAGTTCTGGACAGTAAGTCCATAGAAGAATTTTCTTTAATAGTTGGCACTGTTGAAAACAGTTGTGCTGCTTAATATTTTTGTTGAAGCTGTGATAATCTTATTACAGGATTCTTTGATTAATAGAAAGTTCTAAAGAATAGCATAAAAATATATATATATACAG